CTGTGAACTCACGAGACGCAGTACTATCGAGTTCATGGGCCTGCTGCATAGCCGTGGCGAAACTGGGTTGCAGCAGCGCCAAACGCGTGGTCGGGGCTTTCTTCAATAGAATACTCGCGGGACTCTGCTTGGTAGCGCTGTGCGGCGTGTTTCTGTAATCGAAAAGAAAGCGAGACACTTGCACACATACAGACACATGGTGAGGCCTTGCTCGCAAAGCCTTCTTCAGCTCTTGCACCATCCGCTCACACTGTCCGTTGCTGGCGGGATGATAGGGCGGTGTACGATGATGCTTAATACCATTCTGAGCACAGAAAGCAGCAAACTCGCCAGAGGCAAATTGTGGGCCGTTATCAGATACTAGTACTCTAGGAATACCAAATGTACTGATGAACCGTAGCAAACAGTTCACTGTTTTAGTAGTCGTAGCGGAGGAACCAAGCTCGTATACATCAATCCACTTAGAGAATGCATCAACTACGACCAGAAACTGTTGCGACTCGAACTCAGCAAAATCAAGATGCACACGCTCAAAAGCAGCATTGGGGTATGCCCAATGGTGGACAGAGTCCTTGCGGGGCAGATTAGAGCTTTCCTGACAAAGACTGCAATCGGCGGCTAATCGTTCGATATCGGCATCTAAGCCTGGCCACCAGAAAATGCTTCGTGCCACACTCTTCATTCGAGACACACCGGCATGTGAAGAATGCAGTTCCTCTAATAAGTGGCGTCTAAACTGAACTGGAATAATGACGCGGGAACCCCACAGCAAACAACCATGCTCAATACTTAGGTCATTCCGGATGCGGCTATACGGCACTAACCTGTCGGGAACTGTAGCAGGCCAACCATGCAGCGTGTAGGACATTACTAACGAAATGTCAGAATCGTATTTGCTAGCCTTGGCAACATCCGAACTCTGTAGAGGCATTAACTCGCAGGGGTCAAATGCATGACTGCTGACTGCACTAACAATTGCAGACATTTCAGCAGCAGACAATGGTAAAGGCAGACGAGACAGACAATCTGCTAGCACATTTTCTTTACCTGGAATATGCTCAATGACGTAGTCGTACTCAGCGAGAATCACGGCCCAGCGCTGTAGACGGGATGCCGACGTCTTACTTAACGACTCGTGCTCGCCGAAGATCTTGATTAGAGGCTTATGGTCGGTGCGCAGAATGAACTTACGACCGTAGATGTACTGGTGTAAACGACGAACAGCAAACACGATAGCTAACGCCTCTCGCTCAATCTGGCTGTAATGACTCTCTGCTTTGGACAAAGCACGTGACACATATACAACTGGCCGAACAGACTGGTCCGGCATGACATGTAGAAGAGCAGCACCAATACCAGCAGGGGATGCATCACACTCTAAGATCAGTGGTAAGGTAACATCATAATGAGCCATAACAGGATCGGCGATGAGAAACTCTTTAACTCTGGCAAACGCCGACTGACATGCATCCGTCCAATTAAAGACTACATCCTTCTTTAACAACTCGTTCAGGGGTTGTAACAGCGAGGAGCAATTGGGGATAAACCGCCCAAAGAAATTCACGAGCCCCAGAAACGAACGCAAGGTAGATACATCATGGGGCCTCGGGGCATTCTGAATACTCAAAACCTTATCCCGACTGGGCTGTAGACCAGCCTTCGACAATGTAAACCCAAGGTAACTAACTTGTGGCTTACCAATCTCACATTTCTCACGACGCAACCGCAGCCCTGTCTCAGCGAAACGACGGAGGACTGCTCGTAGACGCTCGTCGTGTTGTTGCTGGGTGTTACCACAAATGAGAATATCGTCGAAATAGACAACGACACCTTCTAGACCTTGTAGAACCTGCTCGATGGCCTTCTGCCAGATTGACGGAGCTGAGCTGACGCCGAAGGGTAGTCTCGTGAATTCGTACAAACCCTTGTGCGTAGCGATGACACAATAGCGCCTACTGTCGTCGTCGAGCGGTAGCTGAGCATAAGCTTGGCTGAGATCTAATTTGGAAAATACAGATCCACCAGATAATTGCGATAACAAATCACTCGGGTTGGGAATGGGATGTTGGTTAGCTTCAATGTGCTTGTTGATAGACACTTTAAAATCTGCACATAAGCGGATGGTGTTGTTTTTCTTTTTTACAACCACCACGGGGGATGCCCAATCAGCGTTAGAGACCGGCTTGATGATCCCCTCCCCCTCTAGACGCAACAACTCCGCTTCAACCTTAGTGCGGACGGCGTACGGGACAGGACGGGAACGGCAACTCTTGGGGGTGGGTGACCCTTGAAGCTGGATCTTGGCAGACTGACCCTTAATGGTACCCAAACCCTCTTGAAATACGGTAGGGAACTGACGCAATAGACTATCTAGCGACAATGCATTGACCTGTGCATTACGAAAATTTGACCAGTCTATAATGACGTGGGACATCCAGTTCCGACCAAACAGGGGCTGACCACTACCCTCTACAACAATGATGGTGTCTCGAAACTGGTGAGACTCGTAACGGACATCGACAATGCATTCACCCAATACAGAAAGGGAACTACCACCATACGAATGCAGTGATGCACGAGACTTATGCAGACACACATTGGAAAACTGCTCCTTCCACACAGAACTAGGGAATACTGAAACTTCAGCACCAGTGTCGACTTCCATAGGACAGACTACATCATTAACGCATACATCAATCATCATGGGAGGATGAGACTTAGACTTAGGTTGACACTTATCTGTAGGTGACACATCGTCGGTGAGAGCCCCAATGCTGAAAGAGTCGAACAGTGACTCTGGCTCGGACGAAATGTGGGACGTCGACTGCGAATTGCAGCAGGAAGCGAAATGCCCACGACGCTGACACTTGCTGCAGGTTTTGCCACGCGCCGGGCAACTCGGATCCCGACCGAAATGACCAGCCTTGCCACACCTAAAACAGAGACGCTCAGAGGAAGTAGAAGCAGAAACAGACACTCTCTCAGGTTTACGTGCACGATCCGTTTTACCTGACGACTTGAAATGTTGTTTCTGTTGTTTCTGCGACACCGAGTGCTTACGAGAGAGACCGTGGACTTCTGATGGCGTACTCATAGCAGCAGCGGAACCCATAGACGAAGCTTGTTGCTGGGTTGCCTCAAACAAAGCTGCAATTTCTAGACACGTACCCAAAGTTAGTTTTGGATCTGATAACAACTTCTTTTTCAACTCGACATTCACAATGCATGACACCACATGGTCTCGAATCATGTCGTCACAAGCGGAACCAAAATCACACAAGCGGGCCTGGACGCGTAATCTTACAACAAACTGACTCACCGACTCATTCTTAGCAAAGGTCATCTGGCGCAGCACGTGACGCTCGTATACAGGATGTGGCGCGGCCTTGAAATGTTCGTTCAGTTTCCGTAACGTAACCTTGTACTCGTTGTCATCCGCAGGCAGGGCCGACGCCTGTGGATCTTCGAGGTCTTCGAATAAGTCCTGAACCTGTGTTCCGGCAGTATGCAGCAATAAATTTTTCAGCCGTTTGTGATCCGTAATCCCTTGTCCTTCAGCCATGTACGTAAAGCTTCGTAGCCATTTCTTCCAGCGAGAGGACACTTCTGCTGGCGTGCCCCGGTATTCGAAAACTGGAAGCTTGTGGGCTGTGCTCAGGTTACTACAAACGCTCATCTTCGTCGCCAATTGTTATAACGTACGCACGCAAGATTCACTCCATGCAACTCGCGTATACCACAGCAGGAAACACCATCTGGTTTGTTCTAGGATAATTTAGAAGTGAACATGTAAAATGGCAATCATGGAGAGATAAGCAGCAGAGACACGTCAGTGCTGTCGTGGCACTAATGGCGCTATGACACGACAGTATAGGCCTCGTCAGCTCGTACCAAAGTAAGACACACGTCAGCCATGCAGACGTAATGCAGAAGAAGACTGATTCATAATGAGGTAAGACATTGTTACTCTTCGTCATGCATGCATCAAAGGAGCGTAGAACGACACACGTAGAACACACGTAGAACGACACACGTAGCAGAACGTAGATCGTAGATCGTACGACTAATATTAATAATAGATCAATCTATAACAAGTATCGAGAATTTGAGACTGTCACATCGACTTGCTCAAGTTTGCAGGGGCTTCACTTGTGATATTCTCAAGAGTATACAGCAAAACAATCGAAACTCTGCGATCGAGAAAAACGAAATCGCTGGAGCAGGACGCTTTAAGGCCTTTGTTTGGGGCATTTTTCGCACCGTTGCTGCACTCTACCGCTGGTACCGTGCAGGAGCGTAGCAGCAGGTCCGGCAAGTCCGGCTGTGGCCTGACCAATGCCAAAAGTGCCCAGAATGCAGGATTTTGCACCCTAATTTCCAATTTTTCCTGGGGGACACCCCCGACCCCCATGGCCATGCACCCGGACCACCTCCAACGGCGGTGCTACGCGCCTGCAGTGTCCTGGCTATCATGGTCGACCTCATTCTCTTCTCTCGTGGACGTGGATACCATTCCACTTCCAGGAAGATTGAGCGGGTAGAACTGATGAATATGATGAATATGAATATGATCCAAGGAACGCGAACAATGCATTTGTTTATGATTCGGTTGGAAACCCCCCTAGAGGTGACCCTGCGTACGCGCCTGAGGAAATAGACTGAACTACTGTCTTTTGCTGGTAAGTAGGGACAAGCAATAATTTCGCGCTTGCATGGACTATCAGTCCCAGTCAGAGTAACAGAAATGCTTGATGTACATGCATGCAATACACTGTACATAGGATACTTCGAGTATTTTGCGAAACGAGTACTCGCTCGTTTCAAATTTTCGAGCGAGCGCTCGAGTATTCGATATACTCGTTTCACCCCTAGTAATCAGAAGGTACTTTGGCAGTTGGAAAATGCCTACACTCCAACATCAGTTGTGCTGCTGGGGAAATGCCTACACTTTCGTCACTGTGTTGCTGCTGCTGCTGCTGTTCCACTTGTTGTTTTCACAGATGCACCCAGTGTGTCTATAGCACCATCGCCCAGCATCACGGTGACAGCCGGTCAGAGCAGAACGCTTCAGTGCACGAGCACGGGAGCGTTTGCCAGTCTTGCCTGGACGCTGAACAACGGCGCTCCACTGCCGGGCAATGCCATGCAAACGAGCATGTCGTCGGTCACATCACAGCCGGTGTCTGTCAACCTGAGCTTGTCGCACCTCAATGAGTCAGTGAGCTTCCGCTGTACTGCTACGGGCGGCCTGGGCACTAGCTCGGCAAACACCAGCGTCATCGTTATCGGTCAGTACGATGTACATTGGTGTAGAATGATGTATTGTTTCCGGTGTGATGACAATCCCCAAACTGTCACTTGTCTCACGTGAACGTATGATAATGAGCAATGCGTGATTTGTGAGTATTCAGTCTTGCCTTTGAGGCATTTTCTTTCCATTGGTTGTCATTCGGGCAGGCCTGGGCAAGATCTGGAGTCCATCAAAGGTTGTGTGACTCAGGTGTTGTTGCTGGAAGGTCAAGTCAGCAACTGCGTATTGACGCCATCGTTCAAATTGTCAGCCACAGGGATTAACATGTACTACAGGTGGAATCCTGATAATTTGAATATGGCTTAATTCGAACATACCGCTTAATAAGAAGTTTTTCCAGGACCGATTTCTGTCAATACGATTCCCACATAAACATTTTCTGATAATTCGAACCTCGAACCGGACATGTCCGGTTAATTCGAAGTTCCATGGATTCCACTTACATAGAAAATGTGTGGGATTTGTGCTGATAATTCGAAGTTAGCAAAGTGTAATTCGAAGTTCACTGTACACTGTACTGGTCATTCCAGTTTGCATGAGCAGGCTGTGCTGGTTAGTTCAGTATCCGTGAAATCTGTGTCTAAGGTCCATAGCGCAACTCTGCGAGACCATGAGAGCATTTTGACATACATATTGTGTTGTGGGTTCATGTTTGGATAATTAGAATGGCCGGATAATTAGAAGCTTTTTCCAGGCATTTGGAGGTTCGAATTATCAGGATTCCACCTGTACAATATTGCCTTTGAAAGTGATGACGTCAGGAGTCCTCAAATAATGACTTCTGGGTCAAATTGCATCCACTCTGACCATAGTGAAGTGTATAGCATGTGGTTCAGGTTGGTACTGTAAACCGTGAAATTATTGCGATGGTCTAATTTCTGCGAAATTCGCGACCGCGTGGAAATCGCGAAATTTAGACAGCGTGAAAAGGAGATCCATGAAAGGTTTAGCGAGAATGCCACAGGTTTAGCAAGAATGCCATTCTGCAATCGCAAAATTAAAACCTCGCAAACCTGTTCGGATTCTGAAAACGCGAACTAAAAACGCCGCGAAAATGTCACGCTTTACAGTATGCCACTCCATGCCGCGCACTAGTATGACCTTTCTTTCTGTACTGGCATTGGCTGCATGGCTGAATGGCCACAGTGCAGGCAATGCTGGTGCATGTGTATGTCTGCTGTGAAAGAAACCGCCCAAACGTGTATGGATCTATGCACAACCTGGATCCAAGTGGATTCCAAAGTCAGCATAGCCCTGAAGGGGAAAGACCAACAGACTCTTCTACGGCACGTACACGCACGCACACCGCACAATCTCAGGACCTGGTGTTTCTTGTACTGGTTCTAGGAAGTAGTGAAACTCACTGCCCTAGATTATTATTGAAGACTATTCTAAATACACTGTGAGGTATACCAGTTGCGCAGCAAAAGCCCGCACTCGCACTTGCTATCGAAGGCTAGTAATTAAGGTATTAGAGTAGTCCAACCAGCTGAACACAGCAGCACGAGAAATTACATGACTAGGTAAACACTAGGATCTGACCCGTATGATCAACAATGTTGTTAACAATGATGAGAGTGTGCTCTTAACGTAATTGAGCGGCCCAGATGTTCCAATCAATTATTTCTAACATGCTATCCTTGCAACCCAATCTACTTATCTAACATGAACAATGTAATACTTGTACCACAAAGCAATACCGTGCACTAGACTCTAAATACATGACACCACAGTCATCAGTATTAGACCAATGCATGCAAGCAAGATCAGCAGTTATCCTTCATCACCTCCGCCTGGTGGCATGTAGAAACTCACTACCGACCATGCAATTACTGCGTGCGAAAGCGGGCAGGCGGTCGAATGGCAGACCTGTCTCGCAACACTCGCTCGTATGGAGTATCGCTACTCGGCGAGAACACTACGTATGGCCCGCTGTCATCACTCTCTTCTCCAGCCGATTCCTCCTCTGTAACATGGCGAGGCTCATCTGCTGGGTCCGAGGAAGGCGCAGCTGGCACGTCACGCTTCAGCAGGTCGATGTTGATGACCTTCTCCTGCAAAACACCCTTGAACCTCCGCCAGATGACTACTGTCGATCCTGACAAGACCTTCTTGATACGCCAGCCACATTGGTATGGAGGAGTACACTTCTGGCGCCTCTTTGGCTGCTGGAGGAGGACGCTATCATCAGGCGCGAACGGGCACTCATGCTCGGATTCACAGTGGTCTTTCTCGGACATCTCCGCATCAAGCAGGTCGCGCACTCTCGCACACCTCGCTGCATGCTCGTCCTGCCACGCTCTGGGATCGGATAGGTTGATGCGGGCGCTCACCAATGCTCGAGGCTGCCACCCGATCATTGCTTTCATTGGTGAAATGCCGATGGCGCTGTGGATGCGGCTGTTGTGGTAATGTATCAGCACCGGGAGCTCGGCGAGCCAATCCGTTGATTCTTCCAGGACCTTCCTTATGAGGCCGAGCAGCGTGCGATTAAAACGCTCAGCCATGCCTTGCGTCTGTGGGTGCCTGACAGCTCCTGTCTTGACCTCAACACCAAACACACGCAGAAGGGCCTTGACAATGTAGTTGCGGAACTCCCGGCCATTGTCCATCCGGATCACATCTGGCGTTCCCCATCTACAGCACAACTCGACAATGGCATCGGCCACGCTCGCACCATCGTGCCGACGCAACGGGACAACTTCGGCGTACTTCGTCAGGGCATCAACGCAGACCAAGACGCAGTGGATTTCCCCGCTCTTGCTTGTGGGAGAACTGGAGCTATCTAGTCTCTCTATCACCCCTCTTCACCCAACACAACACACCAGCGCAAACGGCAGCCTCTTGGTGGAAATGTATGAATCACGAAAAATGCAAGTAGGAAAAGGAGAGAGAACTAGAAAAGAACAACAAGAACACAAAATCACGAGCACTTCAGCCAGGAAAAGACACGTCTAAAACATGGCGTCCAACATGGCGGCAGAGCAACCGATAGAGGCCCGTCGTGGCTGAAGCTGCTATTGCAGCGACAGCCATCACGGCCACCATTGAATGCAGAAAATAGATCAGAAAACGAAGTCGAGCAACAGCAACTCGAACGAAGCAAAGAAAACAACAAGACTAAGCGCAGCAAGCAAAGGCATAGCGATGACATCATTAGTCACGCGTGAACACAGAATCTAGCATGCGCATGCAGCCTTGCAGGCGCTGGCGAAATAAATAATGAAGTCAAGACACAAATAAATAACACAACGATCGACGAGCGATCGTTGCAGGAAAACAATTACAATTCAAATATACTACTTCAAGGAAAGATGAGAAGTGAAACGACTAGCACTAGAAGAAATAGAATAGAATATAGAACAAGGACAATGGAAGCGGACTACGGATGAAGCTACAATGAGGTAAGAGGCATGACACACTGATGACAGATGTCACCACAACAAATACATAATCGTAATGTTTGTCTACACACACATTGTATCGTCACACTACACACATTGTCATATTGTCACACCTCCCCCTGGTGACATCACGTCAACAGTTAACTACGGTAACGAACAGGAGGAACGAGACCAGCACGGTTGCGAAGACGATGACCACCAACTTGAAGTGGTTGGGCTGGTACATCAGAATCAGAATCACTACTACTTGAAGCACATGCATCATCATACTCAGGCACACTCACACTTGACGGCTTAATTAGATCAATATTGACAGTCTTCACCGAATGTCGACCATTAGTGTCTCGAACAATTACAACAGTTGACGGAGACACCACACTATCAACTGTCCATCCAGACTCGTACGGCGCTGTTCGCTTCTGGCGGCGATCTCCCTGCCGCAACATCACCGTGGAACCAACACTGTAGGGGTTCACACACCCAACAGGCTGAACAAAATCAGCAGAGGACAACTCACTTTCTACGTAGTCTCGCACAACAGCCGCTTTACTACACAAGCTATCCACCCATGCACTGGGGGACATGTCACAACGCTCATCGTCCACAATCAAGCCATGAGGGACCCAGCCACACATGGCTTCACTTGGGGAAACACCAAGCGCAGAGTGGGGACGAATACGATAATAGTACAATAATACATTTAAAGCAGACACCCAATCGTCGGATTCTTGCACAATCTTGCGAATTAAAGTCAGCAAAGTCCGGTTAAAACGCTCTACACCACCTTGACTCTGCGGATGACGCACTGCACCATGTCGCACCTCTACACCAAATGCATCATACAAAGAGGAAACTACCTGATTGACAAATTCTGTTCCATTGTCACAACGTACAACTGCTGGGGCACCCCAGCGGGAACATACATCCACAAACGCAGCTGCTACAGACGGACCATCATGGCGAACCAATGGGACCACCTCGACCCACTTAGTAAACATATCGGTACAGACAAGAACACAATGATACCGGTGGCTTCTATTCGGACCCAACTCCAGGGTATCGAGCTGTACTACATTCCATGGACCAGATGGAATAACCGGACGTGTTGGCTCAGCAACAGGCCCACGCTTCGAATTAGCAGCAGCACACACATCACACGACTGAATCAACGACTGACAAACAACAGCGATATTTGCAAAATAACAACTCGCACGCAACAGCTTCCATGTGGTCTCCCAACTGGAATGACCGCTCACAGCATGGGCACGACACACCACTCGCTGCTGCAATGACTGAGACACAACTGGTACAACACGCACATCATTCGGCGGTACCTTCACACTACGATACAAGTAACCATCATCAGATACAGACAACTGAGACTTCAATTTCTTAAATACCGGGTCGGAAATCTCACGACCGTGACGCACAGACTCAATCACACTAACAACAACAGGATCAGACGTCTGCGCATCAAGAATGTCCTGTAACACAATAGCACTCACAATCTTCGGGGGTGCAGAGACGGCAGCAACTACATCTGGCTTGGCTGATTTCTTCCAGCAGCGGATGA